ATTACTTGTCTATTTTCAAATAAATATTTACTTGAATTAAATTAATTTTGTTTAAATAAATTGAATGAAAAAAAAATTAATCGATTTAATTAATTACTTTGATTAATATTATTGGTATTATTATAAATATTATTGTTTGATTATTAAATAATTGATTAATAATAAAATAAAAATTTGATAATAAACTAAAAATTAAAACGAAAATTTGATAATTCAAAAAAATAAGTAAATAAAGTTAATTGTAGTCTTAATTAATTAGCTTCATAATAAATGAACATAGAATTAAAATACTAAAATGAAATTGAGTAGAAATAAAAATTTAAAAATCTAATTTTAATATTAAGAATAAAAAATATTGTACAACATTTTTTGTTATTGAAAAAACATTTTTTCTCGCCTGAAGCAAACATTATTTCTTTGGATAATTTATTTTTGAAGACACAACAGAATTTAAGATAATAAAGTGAATTAAAAACCTTCTAAAAATAGTAACCAGGCATTTAATTCTCTAATAGGAGAATTTTTTTTTCCTATCGAGAGATGTATAAATATAAAAATAATGCCACAAAAAAAACAGATGTGAATATGTACCTGCCGTCTGGAAATCCAATAATATAATATGTTTGACATGCGGTGAAGAGTTTATATAAAATAATTTTTTTCGACAATGAATGAGATGAAGAAAAATTGATTGTACACAGGGAAAAATATAGCCTTGGGTATATTAAGAAATAATCTTTTTTTAAAAACTTTCTGATCGTCTTGTGGTGTATATAATACAAAAGACATCGATGAATGTATAGTAAACTTCATTCATGGGAGAGCCATTCATTCGTTCATTGAGTCGCGTTTCCTTTCGGGGTTCGTTGTCTTCAAGAATGACTCACTCTTATATGCAGAGTGGAATATCATTGTGAAATATTTGTACAGCAAATTCTATGCCCCCATAATAATAATAATAATAATAATAATAATCGAGAACTTGCGCATCAAAAAGTTTGATGTACTTTTTTTTATGTAAGCGCACTAGAGAGAAAGTTGTCGTTCCAGTTGATGAAAAGTGGCTTCAAATGTTTTTTTTTCATTGCTCGAATTTTAGGTTGGTGAGCGAATAATTTATTAACTCTCTTACGATTTTATCATTTTTCAGTTTTGACAAACTTTATATTTGATTATAAATTATTGTAGAATTAGGAATATTGACGAACATCTTGAGATTCAATATGGAGACGTTTCTCTCCACCTGCGAACGCCAAGGTCACCGCTAGATGGCAGTTTAGTTCTTGGAAATTCTCCTGCCATCTGGTGGCGACCTTGGCGTTCTCAAGTGGAGAAAATTAAACCACCATTTTATCCCTTAAAAACTTTTTTATAGTTGAATAAAATGCAAAAAATGTTACTCTGAGAATAATTTAATTGTGTTTTTAGTGAAAAAATTTATATCGCTTTTTATTGAAAAGTACGAATCATTAATTATTTCTAAATTCAGTCCTAGGCCTGCAATTATTATTATTTAATAAATCCTGTATTTGTTAATTAACTACTTGATAATTCAGAAATATATAAAAAATATCAGAATTAAAAATATTAATATGAATATCAATAATCACATTTGCATTACATTTTGCAATAATTTGTATAAAAAAATTATTATTTATTATTACGATAAAATAATTTTATTTTATTAATATTATTTTATTTCACAAAAAACTTTTTTTCCTTTCGTTGAATTTATTAAAAATATTGAAAATAAAAGAAAATGAAATTGAGAACAAAATTTTTAATTAAAAAAATGTTAAAGTTTTAAATTCGAAGAAATTGCATTTGTTGATATATAAAAGAGAAAAATTGTCTTATTTATCGAAAAAAAATGAGTTCATATTTATGAAAATTCGAGAAAATATTTGCGTATTGTACATATTTGTTTACTCGATGCATCGATGACGCGAGACACACTGTGCAGTACTTAAGCGTTTAATTTCAAGAGAATAAAAAAAATTTGTTCCCATCTTGGACACTCAACACCTGCGCTATCAATAAATATCAATAATAATCGATCTCGTTGATATATATATCTGACATGTGTATGACTAATTTTTTTTTCTTCTTTTTTTAATAATGCCTTGTTTTCATAAATATTAAATATTAATTGCATTTTTAATTTTTATTTGATTTAGAGAAACAAAAGAAATTTCAAATGTATTTTTTATTTATTTTTTTTTTTTATTTTGAAATTCAAAATTGTGGCATTTGCATTATATTCTTTTTTCAGTGAGAAAAAAAATTTATTTGATTCAAGTAAATATTTATTTGATTCATGTAAATATTTATTTCAATAAAAGATGTAAAAGTAAAATAATAATTTTCGATTTGATAAAAAGAGTGTGGAGAAAAGAAAAAAATTTTGTTTTCCTCCACATAAGTGCATATCGAAAGAAACGTCTCTTTCGATAATGCGAGAGAGTAATTTTAAGATAGGAATCAGCTGATAGGCTTTTATTCTGGTTATGACCTTCTATTCAGGGTCACATGCACTAATACAAGTGAATTTATGCACGTGTTTTACTTCACGTGTCTTGCATGGACAAGTGACGTTATTCGCACATTTCGCGTGTTCGAGGCCGAAAGATTACACAATTCTTCCGCTTCTAACTTACATTATGTATACGCACGTATATTCTAATTAAACTCGGACACTATTTTATTGTCCTATATATGGGACAAAAAAGCAGACATTTTTTTTTTTTTTTTTTTTTTTTTTTTTTTTTTTTATTGTCGCTGATCAATTTTTTGTAACTGAACTGATAATTTAACTTACATCCAGAGAAATGTTTTATTTGAATCAAATAAAATTTTATTTGTTCTAAGTAAATTTTTATTTGAACTAAGTAAATTTTTATTTGAAGTAAATAAATGTTTATTTTATCCAAAAATAATTTATTTGACACAGTTTTTCTGCGAATATCAAATTGAGACAAAAAACAAATCAAAAAGTGTTGCCTCGTAACGCTTTTGATTCGTTTTTTGTCTCAATTTGATATCTGCAGAAAAACTGTGTGAGTTAAATAAAAATATATTTATCTCGGAATCTACTAAATTATTTATTTGATTATTTAACTAAAAAATTTATTGGATACAAATAAAATTTTTATTTGAACCAAATAAAAATTTTTTTTTGGTCGAAATAAAATTTATTTGAATTAAATAAAATTTATTTGAATTAAATAAAATTTATTGACAATAAAAAAAAATATTATTCAAACAAAAAAAAGTTTATTTGAAAGAAATAAAATTTATTTGAAGCAAATAAAACTCAATTTGAAGCAAATAAAATTTCATTTGAACTAAATAAAATTTTTTTGCAATCAATAAAAGTTTATTCAAATTAAATAAAGTTTTTTTCAATGTAGAAGTAAAGATGAAGTGAGAATGAAATTTCGCGTATTTATGAAAATTTATACAAATAAATTTCATTTCGAGTGATAAAATTTTGTCAAATTAATTTGTTGATATCTTCTTTTTTTTGCGTAAATATTAAATTTTTTTTCTCTAAAACTGTTGACAATATTCACAACGGTTTATATTGCATATTTCCTGAATGACAAGTTTCCTAGGCCAAGGAAACTGTTGGAACTGAAGGTGAAGCGATTTATTGTGATTACTCAGAGTTTCAAGTGCAAATATCTAAGTATGGTCATAAATGAAAGGTAAATTATGTGACTGCTAGGTTCGATTTTTTCCCTTTCTTCAATTTTGCGAAAAAAAAAGAAAAATTGTCAATTTTTATATTTTATTTTACAAAAAATGGTAAATACCTACCTTTTTTTAAATTAAAATGAAAATTAACATTAAATTCCTTCTCTTTTTAAACAATTAAGTAAAAAATTTAAAATAAATAGACAATAAATTCAAAGAATAAATACAATAAAATTACTGCAATAGTATAAATAAATTGTAAATAAAATAGAATAAATACAAGTTCCTGGTAAAAAAAAATTAATATTAATTGTTTACAGAATAATTTAATTGTAATTTTTCTATTTAATTAGAATAATTCTAAGTGATAAATATGCTAATGATAATTAATAAATTAATTATTTAGTCATTATGAATAAAATAATTATGAATAACATTAATTTAAATTTAATAATTAAAATTTATAATTAACAATAATTATGAATAATAATTACTAATTTAATAATTGATTGATTAATCAGTTAATTAAAATGTTCAACTTCTAAATTTATAATTATCGTCTTAATTTAAAAAAATGTTAATACAAAAATTAATTACAATTAATTGAATTTTATGTTAAATTAAAGTATTAATGAAAATTAAATTTAATTATTGTTAATAATATAAAAATTGTTAATAAACAGAAAGACAAATTTAATAATATCTTAAAGCTTGCGAGCAATAAACTTAAATTTAGTATATATTTTATTTTTTTTCCTAACAATAAGCCAAGTGAGATATTTTTAAAAGTATGTCATCCATTATCGAATACTAAGAATATTGTTTACTTTTTTCTCTATTTTTAATACAAATTGTCAACAATTGTATTAAAAAAGCGAGAAAATGAATTTTTTTTTTGTAAAAAATGGGAATATGAGAGAAGCTAAAAATAATTTTGCAAATATTTACTCAGCATCACTCTCTTTTATAATTTAAGAGGAGAATGTTTTTTTAAGAATATTTTCGAATTTATATAAATTTTCCAGCTTGAAAGTAAAAGTAAAAATTTATTGTTTTTTTAAATATTATTTATTGTAGAAAATTTTTAATATAAATATTAAGTAATAACAAATTGTTTATTAAAATAAATATTTAAGAATTAAAATACAATTTATTTATTTAAAAATGTATCGTTTTCTAAATATTATTTATTATACAAGAAATTGTTTATTGAAATAAATGTTAAATAATTGATGACAATTGACGTGTGAATTAATTTTATTTTATCCTTGGTGTGTAAAATTAACGCATTCTCTTTTTTTTAGGGCTGTGAAATCATTCCAGGAGGTACTATGGGTGGAACCAGGATTTACTCGGGCCTGCGAGGTTCACATTCGATTAGGTTTGATGCTAAAAGTCCATGGTGACTTTGATGCTGCATTAAAACACTTGACCCTTGCGTTAATTGACGCAACCACACCTGCCTCCTTCTCCAAGCTCGAAAGTAAGTTCACACATTTGCTTGTCCTCTTAATTCAATTTTCTTCCCTTTTTTTATTTTTTTATTTTTTACCAAAAAAGAAACTTTTTATTAAGAAAAATTTTTTTCTAATAAAAAGAAAGAAAATTATTATAGAATTAAATTTAACAATACATTTTTTGTTATTTATAATAAAATAAAATTAATAATAAAAAGTGTTTTTTTTTTCATAAAGAGAAAAAAAATTGTTGTGAAATAATAAAAATAATAATTAAATGGAAGTTTTTTTTCGTAAAAAGAAAAAAATTATTAGGTATGAAGTAATTAATTTTATTTATTGCTATTAAACATTTTACAGAAAAACAATTTTATTTCCATCAATTTTATATTTATTAATAAGAATTGTTTATAATTTATATTTATTATTGTAATTTATAATACTATTCATTTCATAACTAAAACGAAACAATTTTGCATCAACACCATAATTCATTTAATCTTTTCGTTTCATTTCGTTTGTGAGAGAATTTTCATGCCGTCTAGGCGGCAATTTAAAGAACTAATTGGCGCGAAATTAAAAAAAAGAAAATTTAATTATTAATAAATCATTAACTAATATCTAGAAAAGATAATATTAATAATTATTTATTTATTAATTAACGGGACAATAATAATAATAATAACAATAATACTAATTGATTCTCTTTCTGTATTCTTAATCAAAAAATTATAAACATAACATAAAATTTGTTACTTCTGAATTCTAATGTCCTTTTTTTGGGAGAGCGTCACAATTTTTAATAATTAATTGTTACAAAAAAATATTATTGGAAAAAAAAATTTCTCGGATGATTACAGAATAAAAATACTGTTATAATTTTAAATCATTAAAAAGAAAAAAATACATTCGAAATCTTTGTTGAAAATTTAAAAATAAGAATAAGAAAGCAACAAAATTTGCGCACAATAGAAAAAATAAATTATAAATAAATAAATTGTTAAATTTATTTATTTACTAATTAAATATTTAGTTAATTAATTAATTTAATAATTTAATATTTAGTTAAGTAATTAATTTATTAACTAAATATTTAGTTAATTATATAATTTATTAATTAAATATTTAGTTAATTAATTAATAACCCATAATTTAAAGAAATTAGAAACAATTTTTCTTCAATTTTATTGTGTAATTTTAGACATAATTTTATTTTATGTGTAATATTTAGTATTTTTATGTAAATTTTCTTATTTGTTTTTTTGGCGGGATGTGAATTTAATTTTTTTTTTTTTGCTCACTTTCTTTTTTAAACTTGACCGCATTACTTCCGCGTTGCAACGACAGCGACACTCACAAGCGTTGACCTAGTTTACTCCTATCTCCAAGGAGTGAAAACGCAATTATTTTTACTCATCCTTTATATACTTATAATATAGGTATGAAATCATTGAAACTCAGAGTGCATAATGTATTAAAAAAGATTAAATTATCGCATTATATTTTTCACACAATGAAAAGGAGTAATTAAAAAATTTACATTTTAATGAAGAACAAAGGAATTTTTTTTTTTAAAGAAAATTTTAAATTTAACTCATATTAAAAATTTTTTTTACACAAATTAAATTTTATTTGTTAGTTTCAGTTTTTTAATTTCATTTTTATGAAACTTTGTTACTACATTTTTTATTACTTTTCTTATTTTTATTACTTTTTTTATTAATTATAAGCGCCGTTTTTTAATAATAAATAAATAATTTTAATAATAAATGAAGTAAGATAATATGTAAATAATAATAAATTCTAATATAGTAAATAAATAAATTATTTCTATAATTATTATTATTCTTATTGTTTTGTTGAAAATAATATATTTTTATATTATCATTATAATTATAATTAAAATAATAAAAACAAAAAGTACTAATTATTAATATAGTATTTTTTTTATTATTATTTTTAATGTTATATTATAAAAGTGGTAAAATTAGAGAAAATTTAAATTAAACGATTATTATTTAAAGTTTTTGATTTCTGAAGTTTTAATGTATAATCTGAACTAACGATTCAAGTATAAAATAGAGATTATAAAGTTTGGAAAATAAACTTTTTAACTTTCCTGTAATTTTTTTTTTTTAATTGAGTTTGCAATTTTTTCTCGAAGCTATATTTATATAAATATGCTTCTTTGTTTAATAAAAAAAACACGAATCTTTGATGAAATATTTTTTTTTACGACGAATTTTTCTCACTATACATTTGAAAATATATAGTATTCTTATATATTTTTTTCCCTGAGTTTGTTATAAATTCCATGAATTATCGATTGCCATTGGCCATTTCTTTGCTGACGAAAATTATTATAATGTCTATATTATTAAGTGATCGATATACTCAACACACAATATACAGAAATAATAATAACTATAATTTCTATAAAAAAAAAATTTCACATTCATTTTAACTATAAAGATGCAAAATTTTTATTTGAATTTCCTTTTGCGAAATAAATGAAAGGAAACTTATTTCGAAATAGATAATCATTTTTAGTTAATAAATTAACAATTGTAATTTTTTAATTTTTCTTATTTATTTATTTATATTTTTGTTAATTGATTCTCTATTTTCTCAGAGTGATCGTTAGATTCAATGTTTTATTATTTATTCATTTTTACTTTATCAGAAAAATTTTTATATTTATTTAATTTGGTTAATTTTTATATTTCAAATAATTTTTGCCAGTAAATAAAAAATAAATAAAAAATAAAAATTACATTTTTTCATTCAATTTGATTTTTTTCTTGAATTTTTTTTTGTGTAGTACAATAACTGTGAAGAAATTGAATGAAAAATGAATATTATATTTTTATTCAGTTCGATTTTTTCATTAATTTGTTCATTATTTGTTTGTAGTTTAATAACTGGAGAAAATAAAAAAAAAATAAACAAATAAGAAAAAAATAAATACTGAATTGTTTGTTAATCTTTTAAATAAATAAGCGAATATTAAAGATAAATGAATAAATAAATACGAAATTAAAAAGTTAATTTAAAAATTAAAAATTAAATTAAAGTAAATAACAATAAATGGTGGTAATTAAAATTAAAAATGAATAAAGTATTTTAAATTCCAATTTTTAAAGTAGAAAATGAATAAAACTCTAAAATAAACAAATAAAAAATAATGAATGAATCATTCGAGAAATTGAATTATTTTCCACTTGCAAATAATCAATTTCTTTTGAAATCCATTATTGAATTTGTTTAACGAGCAAAATTCCCTCTATAGGATATTTAAATTCAAGAGAATTATTTCAATATTTCTACAATTTATTATATTTGTTGATGATTCGAGGAAATTAAATTTAGTTTTTCTCGGGATATAAATTTGTAAATCGCAGATTCATTTTTATAACTAACAGAATGAAATTTAATTTGTACTTTCGCAGAAAGATTCATAATATACATACATGTGAATTGATTCCGTTGAAACCGACAGTAATGACGAATAAGTTCCGTAAATTCAACGACCGTGAAATCGACTCCACAAAATATTATTCATTTTTATTCTTTTTCTGCGTCAATTATTATTCTCCTTTGCAAAACTCAATTTATTTTCACTAACAAATTTATTATAATAATTTTTTTTTTTAAATATATTCGTAGATATTCTTTAAAGTAATTTTTTCAAATTTTTTCCAAAACGAATTTAAATGTATTATAATTTTTTTCTGAAAAGAATACTAAATTTTTACAAAGAAATAAATTTTTCCAGAGAAAAATTTTTCTAGTTTAGAACTAAAATTTTATAATATTATTTCAGTATATTAATTTTTGAAGATAGAAGAATAATTTTCGTAACGAGTTGGTAATAATTAAAATATTTAATTATTAATTGTATTAATTAAAAGAATTAAAGACGTTGAAACAATTTTTTTGAATGGTAAACGTATTTTTCTTTTTGTGTCTTGATTTTGATATTTACATTTTTAATTTTGTATTTAAGTAATTTAATTGACATTTTTTACATTTGTTCGCTTTTTTTGCAGTTAAATTCCACATTGCACACCTGCACGAAGTTCAGGGCAAATATCGTCTGGCAAAGGATCATTACGAGACACTGCTTAAGGAAAAAAGTCTACCCTCCCATCTCAAGGCTGATATCTGTCGACAGCTGGGTAAGCCTCCCTTATATGATTGTTACTTTACTCGACACGATAGTAGAAAATGCCATTCGATTTTCTTCGTCATCGTCGTCTTTATTCCTCGTTTTCTTCTTCTTCTTTTTCTTCTTTTTCTTCTTTTTCCTATGTTTCATCTCCACTACTCTCAACTTTTCGAAAACGTGAGAATTTTCTCCAAGTGGTTGTGCCATTTATTCATTAAATCCACACAACTAACTCATCTCATCTTTTCTCAGGATGGACTTTTATTTCATTATGATTTCTTCTTCCATAAACTGGAAAATTACCTCCATGAATCTGAATCATATTTTTCATTCAATTATTGTGGACGGTGAAAATTTTCGTTGTCTCGGGAGAATTTTTCTTGAATTGGATTTTGTCGGGTATTTTTTTATTTATTATTAGGTTTTCTGTATTTATTCTTACTGTCTCTTAATTCATTAACAATGATAATTAATTTGTTAATTAATTTCATGTTGATAATATTACACAATCTTTTTGATTTCGTTTTTTTTATTTAATTTATTAATTTTCAATTTTTTATTTTTCATTTTTTATTTACAAACTGAAAACAAATTTTATTTGATTAAAATAACCGATTATTTGTCTATTATCAAATAAACATTTACTTTAATCAAATAATTTTTATTTATTAACGTCTTGTTAGTAATATTTCTCAATCTTTTTCATTTCGTTTTTTTTTGTTTAATTTTTTCATTTTCGATTTTTAATTTTTACTTAAATATTACATTAATCGAATAATTTGTATGTAAGTTAATTGAGTTGTATTTGAACCAATAATTTCAATATCTTCAGCAAATACAATTTGATTGATTTAAAAAAATTTTTTTAAATTTTATTTCTGATAATTTAAAAATTTTTGATAATAGACAAAATATTTGAATTATTCATTTGAATCAAACAAATTTTTTTTAGTGCAATTTTTAATTTAATTTTTTATTTGTTCATTCAAATTTTGCTTTTTTGTTAATATTATTATGAGCTTTTCTCGAAATTTCTATTTGTAATTGAAAATATACTCAAAAATCTATTGATATTAGAGAATAAAGTAATAATTAGAAAAAGTAATAATTAAAACAATAAATCTCAGTTTTTCTAATTAAAAATGAAATTAAATTTGGAAATTTTTAGCTCTAAACACTCAAATAAACGAAATGTATTTATTGCTTCTTAAAATAAAAATTTTATTTTAATAATATTGCGTAGTATTAATATATAAAAATAAAGTATAAAATCTCTAAATAATTAATTTTCATCATTCCTTTTTTGTTGCACTCGGTAATTTTTTGAAAATTATTTTTATCGACAAAAAATGTCGTTCATTTGAAAGAAGATTTAAGAAATTTTGAAAAATTTGAAATTTGTAATAAAGAATAATTTTTCAAACAATTGACGATGAAGTTAATGACGCTTATATAATCGGCGATTAATCTAAAAAAAAAATATTTGTCACTCGAGATACAAAACATTTTTGCTACTATACTAAAAAGAAAAAATTATTAATTTTTTCTTTTTAGTAGAACGGTAGAAAAAATGTTTTCTAAATTTTGAAAAGAAAATTTCTAGGCAAAAATTTCTGAAAAAATCTCTTCTAAAAATATTTTTTTTTGTTCTAGATTCTTAATTATAGTTGTAAACTTCTTCTAAGTTTTAAGAGAGAAATTTGAAATTTAGAGGAAATCATTGGGAAATTAAATTACAATAATGATTAATAATTTCGATTAGTTAAATTTGAATTAAATTTCAAATTTTAGTTAAAAGAAGAATTTTTTAAACTTTGTAAAATTACTTTTTGATTAGATTTTTTAATATTTTTCAATTTTTCGTTTTTAATTTATGCAATTATAAATTTTATTTCATTTTTATTTTGTTTGTCAGGAATTTTAAATTTAGATGAAATTATTTCGCAATTCATAGAAAGTAATAATTAATAATTTTAATTAAATTTTTATATAATTAATAGTAAATTTTAATATAATTAGACGAAAAAAATGTATTTAATTTAATTTCACATAACTTTTTGTTTTCATATAAATTGTAATTTTGTAACTTAAATGTAAATTTTTGTAAAATCTGTAATAATTAATTTTTGAATTCATTATACGCTTTTAATCAAATTTTTAAAAAATTTTGTAAAGTTTGTAAAATTAGGTGTTTTTTTTATTTAATTTTCTAATTATTGTTAATTATATTTTTAATTTTGTTTTTTGTTAATATTCTAAATGATATATTCTCGATAATTCTATTTATAATTCATAATATTCGTAAAAATTTACGTTTTCTCGATAATTTTATTTACAAATTAATTAATTCGAAATATCGCCGTAAAAATTGAACTGAAATTCGAAATTTAGATTATAAAATTATTGGGCAGTTAATTGACAGTAAAAACGAATGATCTCGATTAATTAAATCTTGAATTACACAGAAAAATTATTTATTAAATTTAAAAAACCATTTTACGCAGGAATTTGAATTTTTTAAAATTAAAAGTGCAAAAAATTTTGTAAAAATTCATAAAATTACGTTTTGATTTAATTTTTTGTTTTTAATTTAATTATTTGCAAAGTTTTGTAAAATTAAATTGAGTTAAATAATTTAATTTAAAATTTCTCAAGGATTTTGAATTTGATTTAATTTTAATTTTCTTAATATTCTAATGAGATTTTCCCGATAATTTTATCTATAACTGAAAATATCACTAAAAATCTATCGAGCAGAGAATATTCGAGTTACGAACAAATAGAAAAATTGCCAGAAGTCCAATTTAATTATTGAACTTATAACGATAATAATTTATATCATTAGAGTGAAAATAATTCTGAATGAATTTCAGGTGAATGAATTTTTTTTCTCTCTTTTTTTTGCCTCTATTAAAAAAAAGGAGACGATATTGAAAAATTCGATTTTGAGACAAGGAACTTCCTGCTTTATTCACTGGCTTTATCCACCCCCTCTTTTTTCTATTGGCGATCGTAGGTTTCGGGTTTTGGTTTAAGGTTCAGCGGGTACACCAAGCAGCAGACACATGTATTGATTTATTCCGGATTGGGGGTGGGTTGGGAAGATGCAATGGAGGGGAATACAAGGGAGGGAGGGTTAAAGAGAGAGAGAGAGAGAATGATAGAGAGTGAATGTAAGGGGGTGCAAGTGAGACGAATTTGTGAGAATCTCCCCTTTTTTTCTTCCTTCTGTGTGTATGTATTTTTTTCACGTAAACTTTCATACGAGTATGTATTTGTACACCTGGCAGATGGCACATACACCGACACTTTTTCTTTTTTTTTCTTTCTTTTAATCTCAAACTCATTCGATATTCGCATGTATAGACTCGAGGATTATTCGTTTTTATGTGAATTTAATTGCATTAAATTTCTGTTTATTGGATAATAAAAAATAATTTAATTTGTATTAATTTCTTTTTATGAAATGATAAAAAGAAAATTCATTTTAATTAATTTTTGTTTTTAGATCCTTCAAATCAGGCTTTTTTGGAGAATTTGTTTAAGGAGAATTTTTATTCAACTAATTGACTCGAGAATTAAATTGAAATCCGCTATTAAATTCATTCGAGAATGAAATGGAATTTTTTAAATTGAATTCTTTTGGGAAGTAAATTTAATTTTGCAATTATATTGAAATCGTCGATTGAATTTATTTCCAAATTAAATTAAATTTTGATAGTAAATTTATTTCTGAATTAAATTGAACTCAGAAACTGAATTTATTGCAGAATTAAATTTGATTCAGCAATTGAATTCATTTCAGAATTAAATTTTTTTCGGAATAACATTTAATTTTACTATTTAATTGAGATTAGTTATTGAATTGATTTCAAAATAAAATTAACTTCTGAAATTTATTTGATTTTGAAATTAAATTATATTCTAAAATTTAGTTGATTCCAGAATTGAATTAATTTCTGAAATTTAGTTGATTCTAAAATCAAATTGAATTCCAAAATGAAATTTATTCCAAAATTAAATGGAATTTCAAAATAAAATTATGAAATTGATTCAATTTCAGAATTCAATTAAATTCAGAATTTGAGTTGATTTCAGAATTAAATTAAAATGATTGCTGAATAAAATTGAATTGATTCAAAAATTAAATATATAATTCTGAAATTGAATTCTTTTGAGAATTAAATTTAATTCAGCGACAGGATTAATTTCCAAATTAAATTAAATTTTGAATTTTAATTTATTTCAGAATTAAAGTGAATTCTGAAATTGAGTTGTTACCAAAGTCAAATTAAATTTTAAAAGATAATTTATTCAAAAATTAAATTGGATTGATTCCAGAATAAAATAATTGAATTCCGCAATTGAATTGATTCAAAAATTAGATTGAATTTTAGAATTGAATTCTTTTGAGAGATAAATTTAATTTTCCAATTAAATTGAATTCAGCGAATGAATTGATTTTAAAATAAAATTAAATTCTGAAATTGATTTGATTTTAGAATTGATTCGAGAATTAAATTAAATTTCACAATTGAATTTAATCCTAAATAAAATTAAATTCTGAAATTGAAATCTTTTGAGAATTAAATTTTATTTTTCAATTTAATTGAATTCAGCGATTTAATTTATTTTAGAAATAAATTAAATTCTAAAATTAGTTAATTTCAAAATTTATTTTAGAATAAAATTGAATTCCACAGTTGAATTGATTCAAAAATTAGATAGAATTCTAGAATTGAATTCTTTTGAGAGTTAAATTTAATTTTGCAATTAAATTGAATTCAGCGAATGAATTGATTTTAAAGTAAAATTAAATTTTGAAATTGATTTGATTTTAGAATTTAAATTTCACAATTGAATTCAATTCAAAATTAAATTAAATTCTGAAATAGAATTTTTTTGAGAATTAAATTAAATTTTTCAATTTAATTGAATTAAGCGATTTAGTTTATTTCAGAAATAAATTTAATTCTAAAATTAGTTATTTTTTAAAATTAAATTGAATTT